TCTCTCTCTCTCTCTCTCTCTCTCTCTCTCTCTCTCTCTCTCTCTTTCTCTCTCCATCTAGCCGAGTTGTTTGATATTTTTGATTCTTGGAAAAAGCTATTGAAATGCTAGCAGGAGTTGCATGTAGCTGGTTGGTGAAATTGTAATTAGCCAGGATGACATTTTAAGCATTTCATAAAACATGGAGGAGACCGAAGACAGAGCCATAAGCTTAGTCTGGGATTATCATTTAAATGGACCTATTTCACAAGGTTTTGTATCCTGGCTATGATCACACTTTGGGTCAATCAAGGACATTCCCAGATATGAGGATCACCAAACTGTTAGCATTTCAGGTGCAGTTTTGGCCAAGATTTGGTAACCAAGAGTATCAAGGAGTAGGAAAATGTAAAACTTCATGGAAAGACTCTAATTAAAAAATTTTAAAAAAGATTGATTTGTGTATATATTGCTTGATGCTCCCTTTGCTTATTTTTTTAAAAGCTGTGGCTTTTAAATGAAAAAATTAATAGCAGTTTTGGCTATAAATACATCTTCTATGCTGTATTAACTTTAAGAGACGGCACTTTATATGTGTTAATATACACGAATACCTACACTGAATCTAGCTTGGTCATTGAACTTTCTGGGTGATTTACTTCACATTTAAGTGGTTGGCAATAATTTGCATTAAAAACTTTAAGAGTCAAAGAAATAGGGAACACAAATTTCAAGTTACCTATTTAAAATATGGTTTTGTTTTTTTTTCCACAAAAGTGCCTGAAGTTTAAAATTGAAGATGAGTCAAATCTTTTGAGGGCAATGTGGGCTGGGTTGAGAAAGAAAGAGAAAGGCAAGTAGGACATTGGGTCCTAGAGTTCAGAACATCTCTAGATGTTCACTAATGATATCATGAGGTAGATAGAGATGATAGAGGTGAGAGAAAGTAATATAGAGGAAAATAAGATTGGGTGATCAGGAATTGAGGAATGAGAAAAAAGGGAGAGAGTGGTTTCAATGTAATTGCTAGAATGTTGGAACTTTCCATTAAACCTCCCCTTTCTTTGATCTATTATAAAATACACATTCATACCCATTCTTGGTCTGTCAGATCCATTTCTGCCTGCCTGTCATTCTAGAGCCCACTGATCAAAAACACCCCACAGAAGATTTCCACCAAGTACAAGTTACAGGCATCTCACCGGTCATAGTCCATGACAGCTATTGACAAATGAATTTGGTCAATGTTTTCTGGGGGGACATCAAAGACTATGGCTTCATTGTAAACAGGGTTGAGTGTGTTCCTCTTGGTGGAAGTTTTTCTTTTCTTCAGGCGTTTGCCTTCACACATCAGTGAAACTTTCACGTAAGGATCTGTGTGAAGATACAAGGAGCATAATTAGATGAGAATGAACATTAATCAAAGCACAAAAAGTATCTGTCACATGTGTGTATTGTGATACATCCATGTGAGTGTGTTTATCTGTGTGTAGAACTTGTATATGTAGAGCCAAATTCAAGCCTTATGTTATTGAAATGCTTAGGAGACTCTTAGAGCTAAAAGGCTTTCCTTCTTGAGTGGATATCATACACAATTAAGGGATTCATTTGGCAAGATTTTGGATGTGGCTTCTTCAAGGAATGGCGTCACTGTGAATGGTATGAAGACTTTTTTTTGGACCTATCAGGGCTGTCTGTTTTCAGAAGGGGTGTCTCTGTATTTAAATCAATGTCACAGAGTCCTGTACAGCCCATAGCAATTCATGCCCACAGGATTCAGAAGAGTAGTCTTGCTGGATCTAGTTAAGGTTAGTGGGAAGGAACATAGACTATAAAACTTTAGGACTCAAAGAGACATTAGGGCTCATCTAATCCAGGGACTCAACTATTTTTTTGTGTTTTAGACCTCTTTGGCAGTCTAAGGAAGTCTATGGAACCTTTTGTGGAATCATGCTTTTAAATGCATAAAATGAAGTACATAGGATTACAAAGGAAATCAATTATATTGAAATATAGTCATCACAATGTTAAAAAAAGATCCCCATAAGTTCATGGACCCTACATTAAGAATTCCTGCTCTAATCCAAAGTCTTCCTTTTATAGAGAGGGAAATTGAGGCACAGAGAGGTGAAGTCTCTTGCTTGACCTTCACCCATCCCCAAACTGGTAGTGCCCTCCTCCCAACTACCTTGCCTTTATTCTGGATATACTTAAATATGTACACATTGTCTCTCTTGGTAGAGTGTAAGCTCCTTAAGAATGGGAAGAACACTAATCTTTGAATTCCCAGCACCTAGCACAGTGCTCGATGCTGGTAGGCCTTTAGGAATGCAAATTGATTGAATGATTGCTCAATGACATATAGCTCATTAGCTGTCAATGGCAGATCTGGGTCTAAAAGTAAAATCTCTTCCCTGATCACTTTGGAAAAGGGAGATGCCTTTCCAGAAGAAACAAAATATGGGTGGGGTTTTCCCCTAGGACTTATGTTTTCGTTCATCAATGGGGATGGAGAGTTTAGACTGGGAAGGAAGAATAAGGCAGATTCTTCTGAGAGAGAAGCTGTGCTTTTCCTTGCTGAGCTGCTGCTTCAGGCTAAAGGGTTGATGTTCCTGTTCTAGTCTGTGATGTTTCTGGCTCTCTCTTTAAGGAGGAGTTGCTATTCTTTTTGTATCTTTACTTCTAGGTCTTTCCCCTCCTAACTCCCCTCCCTAGGGTTCCCAACTTCCCACCAGGAAGCTAGGATAGACTTCAGAAGGCAATAAATAGGGCCTTACAATCTCACAAAAAACAATATTATTCCTTTTTCCTGTTCACCTATCCTCACAGTCTTCTAGCATATGAATATCCTCTAAGCTGTAGAGGATCTTTTCCTATTGTACTTTTTGGGGATGCAATTGCCTGGTTAGCCAGCCAGTGTAGCCCATGCACATGTGGGACTACCATCAAAGTAGTTCATGTAGGTTTTAAGAGCTAAGGAAAGAAATGAGATCCCAGAGTGCATGGAATAATGCTTTGAGACCAGTGAAGTACAATGTTTTCTTGCTGTCTTGGAACTTTGACTTGTGGTCTTTGGTCTTTAAAAAAAATTGTATATTTTGTTTTTATATCACTTGTATTTTCTAACGTATCACCATCTACCTCCCAGAGAGCCATCCCTTATAAGAAAGAATCAAAAAAGGGGAAAAGCTCAGCAAAACTAACCAATATATTGAAAATATCTGGTATTACATGCAGTGTTGCACACTCACAGCTCTCTACCTCTGGTTTTGGGGAGAAATCCTAACTTTGCCTAGTTCACAAGGGCTGACCTTGCATTTACCTGTCAGTGATGTGTATCTGAAGAAACAACTGGACTCCTATATGGAATCAATCAGTACAAATGAGCACAAATAGTGACTATCTTCCCAGTCACTTGAGGGTGGACCAGTGAAAAGGGGTCTCAAGGGGTAGAGGTAGAAAGGTCAGGCTGGTGAATTCCCTACCTGATGCTCCAGTTATATCCATTGCTTTTAAATTCCTGGCCTTGATTATGGTGATGGTCAGCCTTCCAGCAGTTGGAAGATAGCAAAGGGAAAACATCAAATCTCCAAGATCCACATTTTCCTGTTGAGAAAACCACAAGCCCAGCCTTCAGGAAATGATAGCTCACATTCATCCAGTGATTAATAATGTAGATAACATTTTGCCTGAGAAGTCTTCCACCTCTCTGGGACCTTTTTTTACATTTTCATTCACTCAGAGTTTGGCTTCTTTTTTCAGTGATCTTAACACTTCCTGTGAATATTATTCTTTTGGTGAATACAGTGCTCTTTCCATTATACCACAACACCCTCCTGAAACTCCAATGATCAGAAAATATGGTCACATGGTAAGTAGCTTCACCATCATGATGTCTGCTGCTTCTGCAGCACCTGAGTCTTTCCTTTTTGAAAGAGAGGGCTATTGCAAGCTGTGAAAGTTCTATCTCCCACTTCCCTCAGAGAAAGAAGCCCACCAGCACAGAACTCCTCTATACAATGCACATCAAGTGTGCATTGGTTTTGCTGGAATAGGGCTTCTCCCTCCTGTTCCTTGTTGTTCTAATCAAACAACAATTCCAAAAGGATCACTGAGAGGATACAAATACAATTGCAAATGGTACCCTTGTACTAATTCAAAATCAGTATAAATTATAATGCCTCACACACCAAGTATTCCACTTTAACTTAAAAAGAAAAGACATTTCTTGAGAAGCCTGCCTATGGTGTTCTTTATTGGGGAAGGAAATCATCCTTAAATTTTCCAGGCATTCAAAGTCAGGGCAAAAAAAAAATTCTTCCATTCCACAAGCAGTATAACCAGAAAGAAAAAGGAAAATTTAATTTAATTAGGAAGCAAAGTAATTTTCATTTACTAAAGATAACTGGGTATACCTCATTGGCATATGGTAGATAATGAATACAAGCTCATAGTGACAAGGCTTCTGAGAGTGATGATTTTCTTAATTATCCACTGGCCTTCTTTCTCTTAACTAATTTTCAAGGAACTTACTGGTAGATCTTTCTCTCTTTGCTTATTTTACACAAAGGTCAAGCAAGAGGCATTCTATTCTGTCGGTCTATTATTTGGTGGGCTAGGTTCTTGTGAGTTTGGGTCTGTACTATGGATGATCTCCTTACCTTCCCCCACCTTTCTCCATTCTTGCTCTTGATGGGTGACTTACTTTCCAAACATGACTCTCTCAATCCCTAATGGCGGCCCTTGAGGTTCCAAATCAAGCTCCTGTCTATTTTACAACTCATGACTTGCGAATGAGCCCATCTGTCTAGCTTCAGTGGGGAAAGTGAAATGTCAACAAGCTTTGGAAGAAAAACGGCAACAGGGGAAAAGAGTCCTGGACTAGAAGTCAGGAGGCCTGGGTGCTAATCCTAACTTTGAGACTATTTTGTTGTGTGATTTAATCAATCAACAATTGTTTATTATGCATCTGTTAAGTGTCAGATACTTTGGTAGGTGCTGGAGATATAAATGGAGAAGTAAGAGGGTCCCCACCTTGAAGGAACTCACATTGCTGGAGTGGAGGTGATGTTACAAGAAGTTCATAAATAAGTAAAAATGAATGGAAGGGCACTAATTACATGGGGCTTAATGTTTTATTATATTAGAACTGAAGAAACCTTTGAGACCATCCACTTCAAATCTCTTATCTTAAAGAGGTAGAAATGTCTCTGGGCTTCAGTTTCCTCTTTCATAGAATAAGGGTTTGAATTGGATTTTGTGAGGTCTTTTCTAATGCTAAAACTTTATGTTGTAAGGTCCCTTTCAATTCTGACATTTCATGATTCTCTATCTCTCAGTTACCTGACCTTGTGAAGAGTATAATAACCAAAATAATTAAACCCACTAGACATCCTTGTGAGACATTCATTCTTTGAGAATATGGCTTGGTGAGCTTGAAAAGCAGAGACAACAGGATTCATTCTCAGCTAGACAGAGATTTGCTAATCCAATTCCTTTGAAGTCATCTCCCACAAGCCTATGGGTCTACAAGCTCCTCTGCCATTGCCCACTGGCCTACAGCATGCTATTCTTCTAGACTAATGAGATAGCTTCTTCTCACTGTGGGAGATGTTCTATGTCGGACACTACTTCGCCTCTAGTGGAGCTGTCAATTGGTCCAACTGTTAGGGAAAACAATTTGGAATTATTCGAGAAGAATCACTGAGTTGTGCATAGTCTTGGATTCACCAATTTCTCCACTAGTATAATATGTAATAGAAAGGATCCGTATACACATAAATTTTCATCACATCACTTTATGTAGTAGGAAAAATACTGGAAACAAAGTGGGTATTCATCAATTGGGAAATGCTTAAGGAAATTGTGATATACAAATGGAACAGAATATTATTACACTATTTGAACAAAATGAAAAGTTCAGTGAAACATGGGAAGACATATTAAGGGATGCAGAGAATGCAGAGAGGAAAGCAGAAAAAAAGAAAAAAAATATGCATATAGCATTTATATGCTGTGATAGAGGGGCCCTTCCAGAGGTGTCCTGATAAATGTTTAATAATTGACTCTGAAAAAATAGTAGACATGATATACTTCCAAGTTTAGTCTCCATTATCAACATTTTCTCCATCATTTTCTTAAGTTCAGACAATCAACAAATCGATAAGTCAAGTCCTAATTTGTAGCTTACTGATTTCTGAGGGTAAATGCTCACATTGAAAATTTAACGATTGGCTCCCCCAAGCCAGTTCAAGCTGGCTCCAGCACACCCTTGCTTCTCCCCTCCCCCTTTCCCCATGCCTCAAAACACATGCTTCAGAGGAGGCACAGATGTCCTCTGACCGGTTCCTGGCAGTTCAGATGTCTCTTTTAATTGGATCCTGTATTGAAACTCCAGGGCTATACTAAAGGAGCAATCCCCATTCTTTGGGCTTGTTGTCAGCTTTGAGGTGTAACTCTGAGCTTGGGCCTGGGCGGGGGATGCCATGCCTTTCCAAGCCAGCAAACCCTAAGTATCCTAGGTCAGCCGGTGTCTGGAATGCAGCCAGCTCCTGTTTATGTCTTTTTTTTTCTTTGGGTACAGGGCATTTTGGGATCTCAAAAGACAACTGGAATCTTGCCCTCTTCCTGGATACCTGAGCAATGGACTACCAGAGCAATTGAAGCAGCAACAGATGGTGAGAGAGAGCAAAAGTTCCCAGGATTCCCTTCTCCTTCCTGGCTTTTGCTTCCCATTACCTTTCAGTCCTTCCTCCTGGTTGGGAAAACTATATTTTAATCCCATTTCTTATAAGGGGCTACATGAACAATGACTATGCTATTGTCAATTAAAACAACTCAAAAAGTAGCAGAACTTTAATTGTAGTTAACAATCTTGGTTACTGGGAAAAAGATAATGAACATTATTCTGGTTAGGGGGAGACTGTTGCATATAATAATGGATCATTTTATCATCTATTTTAATTGTTTCTCTTTGTCTCAAGGGAGGATTCAACTGAGGGCAACACTTAAAAAGACTTATGACCTTTTAAGAGACAACAATAAACATTATTTAAGAATGCAGTTATCATATACCTACACAAGTTTCTATAAACTTTATATATATATATAAATATTTAAAAATATAGAATATATATTTATATTGTCTCTTTATATGTATATATGTATATATGTGTATATATGTGTATATGTATATATACATATATGTGTATATGTATGTATGTGTGTATATATATGTGTGTGTATATCTATATCTATATATAATTAGTCATTGCAGCCAATTGGCCATTCCTCTATTCTTCTGTCCCCTGTGTCTTCTACACTCACAAAACATAGGAGGCAGATGCAAACAGAGCAAGGGTGAAATATCAGAGGACTCTGCTACAGTAGGAAGTATACTGGATTTGGAATAAAAGGTCCTGTGTTCAAATCCCAGGTCTTCCATTTACTATATGGGAATGTCACTTAACCTCCCTGGAACTCAATTTCCTCATCTGTAAAATGAAGGAGTTAGCTTGAATGACCTCTAAGGTTCTCTTTCCAGCCTTAGATGGATTATTTATGATCCCATGGAAGCTTCCTTGGGTTAAGTCAGGGGTGGGAGGGTTGGACTAGGTTAAATCCGGAGTTCTCTTTGTTTTTGGTCCACCAGCTCCTCCCTGCTGTCTATACCCTTCCCAATTTTTTTAGGCACCCAGCTCTCTTACACAACTAGAGTAGGATGTGCGCTACAATTCTCTCCCAGTTCCACATCCTCCCACCACTCAGATTTTCTTCAGAACATATTAGCTAAGTATTTGAGGGGATCAAAAGAAGTAATGGTGGTAAAATGCTTTGCAGATTTAAATGGCTATAGAAATCTCATCTGTTATTATCATCATTATCATCCTATTTCCCTTTGTTCATTTCTCATATGACATGTCCCCTTCCTATGCTGGTTATTCTCCTCCAGTCTTGCTATAGTTTATCTATGTCCTAAATTGAACACAATTACAACCATTGTAGAATCTAGTGCGCTAGCCCCTCCCTTCTCATGGATGACATGCGTAAGATTACATTAGCTTTTTAGGCAGCCATGGCACAGTATTGGCTATAGTCTATTTATTCTCCAATGGCTTTTTATCATGAACTACTGTCTAGTTAGGCTTTCTCCACCCTATGGCTGTGCAAAAAAATTTTTTTGCAGGGATTCATATTTATTCTTATGAAGTCTTATCTTGCTATATTTAGCCCATAGTTTCCACATATTAAGATTTTGGTTTTTGGATTTCAATTCTGACATTGAATATGTTAGTGGTCTTATTAAGTTGTATACAATCCACACACTTCATAAACATGTCAGGTATGCTTTCATATAAATCACTGTTAAAAAAATATTAAACACAACAGTGTTGATGACAGAGTCCAAAATCCTACCACTAGGGACCTCCTTTCATGTTGATATTGACACATTCATCATTGTACCTTCCTAAGATGAGGTTGTTCAAGCAATGGTAAATAGCCTATATTTTTCCATCTTATTAAAAAAAAGTTTCATGAATCAGCCAGTCAGTCAACAAGCATTTAATTAAATACTTACTATATGTCAGGAACTGTGCTGAGTGCAT